CTCACTATCTATCACAGAATTGATAGTGAGTAGCGTAACCAATCAGAGAACGGCATTCGTGATAAAATGCTAGTAGATTTATACTAAAATTTATTATAATATTTCCCAACTTGAAATAGAGATGCACAATGCCACTGCAACAAAGGGAAAACCCCAGTTGCCTCCAGAGAAATTTCTGAGAAATCATGTGTTTCCGTTTTATGATCACATCAATCTAAAACAATGCCTACTATTTTTTCCTCCTCCCAGATTTTGCTACTAGTTTTCTAAGAAATCTTGGTTAAAATGCACAGTTAAGCTTATATTTAACAGAACAAATCTTGGGACCTCATCTCACAGGGCTTGGTCGCAAAAAGATCATTTTGCCTTCCATGCGTCAAACATCACATTTCCTGCAAGAATCCCCTCGAACTTCCTAAATCTCTTCCTTTACCGTTTTTTTTTTCCAATCAGTTTAGAACTGTAACAGTTAAAATGCTAGAATGATCCATGTCAACGCTAAACAAAATATTTCCCAAACGAAACCTGCTTAATCAGCAACTCTCTCCTAGATCGCTTCCACCGTACGCACGTCGAGATAAAAATTAAAACGAAACTAAACTTGAACGGAGAAGAAAGCCAGTGAGCCATTTAATGAGAAGAAAAAAGATTAAGGAGTTCACTTTCTGGATCAGCTGTATAAAACTAAGGAAAGCCAAACAAATCAATAAGCTTTACAAAGTAAATACAACGCGCTGATTGCACCAAATTATCACTCATTTGGAAGTATAAGTTTACTTTAGAATAACGGCGGCTACTAAACAATTAGATTGGTTAGATTTTCAGCAAGAACAATCTTGGTTCTCAATTTCAAACATAGTGTGCAAACTAAGACTACATGCAAGCCTATATAAAGTTAATTTGCAAACGGCAAGGTCAATCCGCCATGGGTGTAACCAGTTCCGACTTACTAAAGAACCAATATGAACGAAATTTTGAAACAGCTTTTAAACGTTCTTAACTCTAGAAGAACACAATTACGAGCTGCAGCTCTCAAACTGCAAGATCAAATAGCATCCCAGGTCATACTGGATGTAATTTTCTTCCGACAGAGCTTAACTAACTGCGGTTAAGTGGGCGCAAGCGGACCTCCTTCGCGGTTGTTGTTCCCGCGAACTCGACAAAAGTTCGTAAACAACGTTCTAGATTTTGCATCCAGGTGTTCGCATCTAGATACTCAGCGATACTATAACGANGGCGCAAGCGGGCCTCCTTCGCGGTTGTTGTTCCCGCGAACTCGACAGAAGTTCGTAAACAACGTTCTAGATTTTGCATCCAGGTGTTCGCATCTAGATACTCAGCGATACTATAACGACTACCACTTTGGTGACTTAACAAGCTCTCAACATGGATAAGCAAATGAAGGACTCGAGTTATTCTAGTCAAATCTTCTCACCTGTGGCGCAAGACAAGTTTGGGGTGCTTTTGATACCAACTGCAAGAGACGCCATCTTGGGGCCTTTCTATGATCTTCAAGTTCTTCTAGTTTCTTTTTCAACCACTGTTTGATTATCACTTAACTACTAAACAGTAGTCGTGAGGATACTAGATGCTATCTTTCTGAATTAATTTTCGACATCGAAAAAGGAGGTAAACTAATTTTCCGCGTATAAAAGTTTGGACCAGGTCCGGAAAATCAAACTCTTTGGTCCTCAGCGCAAAGGATTACGTCATGTGGTATAAATATCCTGCCAATGAGTGAGAGTCTGAGGACGGAGTTTCAAAATTAACTTGACATACTGCCCGGTGTTTGAAACAACGTCCAACACAGTAACTAAAGAACAACAAACTCTTTGAGAAAAAAAGCTGTCCCATGTTTTCTCCCTGCAATAGGGTACAACCACATCTTACTTTTCTCCCGAGTCCCCCCCTCCCCACCCTAGACAGTTAGTCACTTTGTAAATTTTGAATTGCTGAAAGGGTCGTCACGTGGTTAGATATCGCGCAACCTACGTACGTAACTGGGGTCAAAGGGGCACGGGAAATTTTGTCCAACTTTGTGTGTTCGACTTCCTGGCAATGCACGCCACGTAAAAGAAAAATTAAATCTTTGAAGGCGCAAAACTCCCAGCTCCCGCGCGTCTCGGAGAAGTCAAAAATCAGTCAAGGTGCGAACCTTGTTATCATTTTTTTTTTTTTCCCTTTTAAACTTGTACAAAGAAATTGTTTTTCATCCCTAATGTTTGTGGAGTTTGCGGGAAAAAAAACTATAGACACTATACTTGGCAGACTTAAATTTCCCTGTAATCTCACTGAAACTATATACCGCACTGAAAAGTTGTGAAACTGTAATCAAAACACACGCTAATCTTGGATTATTTTAATCGTGCTTGATAACCGAACTCAATGTTAGCTAATGTTATTACATCCTAAAATTCCATGCTACACAGTTGGAGTTTTCGGAGACGTTACTTTAAAAGTGTGCCAATGCAAGCGCACCCTAATCACGCACACTAGTCACGCACATTAGTCACGCAAACTACCGTTCGGTCAATCTTGCACGAATAACTTGGGCACAAAGTCAGTTGTTTGAACAATTCAGTATTTCTTTGTTTTTGTTTTGTTTTGTTTTGTTTTGTTTTTTTAAAAAAAAGGTAAGGCACAGGTAGGTAGCTTCATGGTCTCCTGAATCTTCGATTAATATTGATACTGGATCATGTTGCTCAGAAGCGAAATAAATCCCGAGAAAGGGCCCGGCAAACTTGGCTACTCAGATGGCCAGGTAGTCACATTTTTTTTTGTTACGTTAAAAAACGTGGCGAAATCTCGCAAACCAGGCCACCACGGCTCATCAAATCGGCCCTT